AAAGTTGTGTTACAGCTCCAGCTTAACTCAGGGTGGATTAAATCAGTGTGTTGGAGAAGAATGGAATTAAATGCTTTGCTGTAATGACTCGTATCCTCACAAGTACCTCATTAATTGTAGGTGCTACATGACATGAATGTGCATGGGGATGGCAAATATAGTATTTTTGAATGCTTTCCTTTTTTCAAATTACCCTAGAGAGAAAGAAACATGATCTTAGTAGTGGTTGCTGGAAACATATGCCAGCTTGATTTCCTTAGGTATAAGATTAACATGAGAGTAAAACATTGTGCCAGAGCTCAAAGAAAGGCAGTTTCATTTCTACCAAATATGTTTCAACCTGACTTAAGTAATAATTAAATAAGCACTGTGAGGAGGTTCATAACGGCAATTGTTCATTATGTTAGTAAAAGATTACTTTTATGTTGGAGTTTTCCCAAGCAGTCCCTTAGACTTAAGCTGGCAGTCACTTCTTTGGAAAGGCCACCATATGCATGGCATGTATTGTTTGGGGCTTCATGGGAGAGAGGCAGGGTACATCAGAGATAGGATCATGTCCTGAAAACGAGAAGAATCTCATGGACTTAAAGGTTGATCAGATGAGTAACCAGGGTTGTTGGCCTAAGTGAGGTCTTCCTTTGTATCCAGTGGTTGAAGTATGGTAGAGACTTGGCCTTTGTGAGCAAAGACTTTGGGATGAGAAAAGAATCATTGGCACTTGTCTCCTGAAGGTTTGCCCTCTTTAGTCTTACTTAAAACAGATGAAGTGGCACATGCCTTTAATCCTAGCATTTGTGAAGCAGAGGCAGGTTAATTTCTGTGAGTTTGAGTTCAACCTGGTCTACATGGTGAGTTTCAGTTACAGAGAGATGGAGTCTATGACCATCACAGCAGGGAGCACCACAGCAGGCAGGCAGGTAGGCAGGTAGGCAGGCAGGCAGGGTGCTGGATCAGTAACTGAGAGCTTACATCCTGATTCACAAGCACAAAGCAGAGAGAAAGCTAAATGGAAATGGTATGAGCTTCTGAAACCTCAAAGCACACCCCAGGGTTATACCTCCTCCCCAAAGGCCACAGTCCCTAATCATTTCAGAGCAGTTTCATCAACTGATGACCATTCAAACATATGAGCCTATGGGCATTCTCATTCAAACCACCACATTCTACTCCCTAGCCCCTACAGGTCAATGGTCATGTCATAATGCAAAATGCATCTTGTCCAATGTCAAAAATTGCCCTAGTTCCCCACAGTCTCAACATAGTTTTTCAAATCCAAAGTCTCTTCTAGACTCAAGACAATCCCTAACCAAAACCCCTATAAAATCAAAAGCAAAAATAAAATTATACACTTTTAACATACAATGGCATTGAATATACATTATCATTCAAAAAGGGAGGAAAGGGGGTAATGTAGTAGCATTTTCTCTAAAACCCTAACCCTAACCCTAATTCTAACTCTGAATGAAAAAATACTGGATCATAACAAGGCCTAAACCCAACTGGGAAAATTCCAAATCCTGTTGGTTTATGTCCTATGCCAAGGGGCATAGATAGCCCATCTTTCCAGCTCTGCTGACTTCAACACACTTCTCTTCTTGGGCTGCTCCACTCCCTGAGTGCAGCTCTCCTTGGCAGGTACTCAGTGGCTGTGGTATCTCTAACATCTTGGGGTCTACAACATTCCAAGCTTCACTTTTACAGCTTCACACAATGGCCTTTTCAGGTCTTCATTCAGGGATTCCCTTGCCACATGCCTGGCCTTAGCAGTTCTCCTTAACTGTAGAGGAAGATTCCACAACCTCTTTATTCCTCCTGTATCCTTTAGGACTCTGAAGTCAGAACCATGTGGCCAATCTGCCAAATTTGACTGCCTGCTTGGACTGGAACCTGGCCCCCTCTTTGACTTCCATTTGCTTTGATTTGTTGATGAGTTTTAGGGCCAGAAAATCCTTCAGGCCTTTCTTTTCCTTTCACAAATTGCAAGATTAGTTGGGTGGGGTCTCTCGCTGAGGGTACTATTCCCTTTATTCCACTTTGCATCATGCCTCCCCTTATCTCTTTCAGCACAAGCCTTGTCTCTAACACTGAATGTCTTGAGGCTCTTTTTAATCTTCAAGTTGTGTATTTATATTTCTTTTTTGCCCCTGTGTTCCTTTTCATTGTATATCTATATAACAGTGGTTACTAAAAGCTAAGTGATAGAGTTAATAGTAAGTTGTCTTGAAATTTCCTCTGCCAGAGAAGTTAGTCTAAAATTCAGGCAGATTCTTGGACAAGGGAAAAAGACAGCCATATTCTTTGCCAAAATATCACAAGAATGATCTCTGTAGCTATAGTTTTCCTGCCTGACCCATAGTCAGGACAAATCTTTCTCACCTGCCAGTCCCACAGCCGCTCAGACCCAACCAAGTAAACACAGAGACTTATATTGCTTAGAAACTGTATGGCCATGGCAGGCTTCTTGCTAACTGTTCTTATATCTTAAATATAAGATCCATTTCCATCAATCTATAACTTGCCACGTGGTTCGTGGCTTACCGGCATCTTCACATGCGGCTTGTCCTGGCGGTGGCTGGCAGTGACTCCTTCTGCCTTCCTGTTCTTTCTTTTTCTCCTCTCTGTTAGTTGTGCCTATACTTCCTGCCTAGCCACTGGACAATCAGTGTTTTATTTATTGACCAATCAGAGCAACACATCTGCCATACAGAACATCCCATAGCAGATCTCTCTAACCCAGTTACCAATATTGTTACCCTCTGAATCCTCTTGGGCTGGGCCTTCATGATCCACATTGCTTTCAGCACCACTGTCTTTAAAGCTCCTACTAAGATGGCCCATTAAGCCCTGCTTATGTTCAACTACTTTCCTAGTCCAAAGCTTCAAAGTCTTCTAAAAAAAAAACCAGTATGGTCACAGCAATAGCCCACTCCCTGGTACCAACTTTTGCCTCTGTCACTTTTCTATTGCTGTGATAAGACACAACTTAGAGAAAGAGTTCAATTTAGGACTCAAGTTTCTAAAGCATTAGAGTCCATGACCATCATGGCAGGCACACAGCAGCAGGCAGACAGGCATGGTGCTGGAGTAGGAGCTGAGAACTTACAACTTGATCGACAGGCACAAGGCAGAGAGAGCAAGCTAACTGGGAATAGCATGGACTTTTGAAATATTCAAGTCTGTTTCTAGTGACACACTTCATTCAACAAAGTCAGTCTTCCTAATCCTTCCAAAACAATTCCAGCAACTGGGGACTAAGTATTCTGAATATTAGAACATATGAGCCTATGAGGGCCATTCTCATTCAAACCAGCACAGAGAACATGCCTGTTTTCTGCAGAAGGCTTGGTTTATTTTTCTCAGTCAGGACAGGACAGAGAGGAAGAATAATGTGAGGAGAGGAGGTCAGCATCAAACCAGTTGCAAAGCTAAGGATATCTATCCCAAGAGCCATAAACTATCTAACGAAAGTCACAGTGCCAGGCAATGATAACTTCACTCCAAGATGTTGATTTAGGTGGGTCTAGGAAACTCCCTTAAACAATATAAGACATTGCCATTGCCCTTGGTCACCTCCAAGAACTTGAATGTAAGACTCTTTGCTAAAGATACCACACACTTTGAACATAGAATTTGGAGGAATCAAGCTGGGATTTCCCTGAGAACTTCAGGGAAGTTTCTTCCCCAAAGACTAGCTTTCATAATATTGGATGATGTTACATAAGCTGCTAAGAAAGAAAAATAATCAATAATCCTAGCCAGCACTGAAATCTCATTCAAGCTAAAGCCTGTGAACCACAACAATGGCTGGTCTGGGAATATATTCCTAATGGTGTAACAGTGGCACTTGTGTCTTGGCAGTAACCAACATCTCCCTAATTGGACTTAAAGCCTGCTTAACAGATAGAATTCATGCCTGGTACTATGAAACTTAGCACACTACCTATAGCTGGAAAGGTCATAGACCTAAAAGGAGAAACTACTAGTACTATTTTCCTGTGTCAATATAGTTTCTAACTATATAGTTATCCTACTTATACCTGATCATAAGCATAGCTTTCACCCCTCACTGATGAAGCTCTTTTTTTTGTTGTTGTTGTTTTTTGTTTTTTGTTTTTTTGAGACAGGGTTTCTCTGTGTAGCTTTGCCCCTTTCCTGGGACTCACTTGGTAGTCCAGGCTGGCCTCGAACTCACAGAGATCCGCCTGGCTCTGCCTCCTGAGTGCTGGGATTAAAGGCGTGCGCCACCACCGCCCGGCTAATGAAGCTCTTTTTTGCAGCAGACTGAGACTACTACAGAGATCCACAACTCATCAAAATTCAGAGAATAAATGACCACAGGGATTTCAGTACCAATGGGTATACCTGTAATACAACCCTTATACCTAAGGCTCCAATGACATGATGGAAGAGAGAGTGGAAAGATTTTACAAGTCTGAGGACCAGTATGAGACCAGCTGTGCTTGTGTCTCCTAGACATGACAGGAAAACTATACCCATAAAATCTCAACAATATGATTGTATAAGCAAAACCTGCAAAATGACCACACCCATAGACATGCTAATTCAGATAGGTGGAATTTCCCAAGGTCCCATCCATAGATGAAGAGACACAGGCAATCAATGGCTGCTGAGAGAGGGTGAGTCAAGTTTTCTACAGGGGTGAGCCTTCTGATAAGTTAACCAGTCCCAGTATGAATGACACTAAACAGACATATATTTGCCAGGTGGAAACTCTAGCCCTAGGTTTCCTTCACTTATGCCAGTGATTACCAGCTAGTTGATCCCTAGACACATGGAAGAGCATCACAGAAACACCTGGGGTCTTACCAGAAGAGACCATGCAACCAGAGATGAGGGACTTATGGTTTAGGAATATATCATCTCAGAATATTCAGGAGGTGTGATCAATTCATGAGTCAGTGTCCCATCACATTGACCTTCAAAGTTCCCATACCAACAAGGGTGAGGCAACAATGGACATACTTCCCCAAAGAATGGGCAAGAAAGGTTAAAAAAAAAAGAGCCACTCAAATTCCCAGAGCTTCCAAGAGCATAAACTTTCTTCTCTTGGTATGTTTTAAACTTTAAGCTTTTGATTCATGGGTTACAAATCCAGCATTACTAATACATAATATAAAAATTAGTGTAAAATACACAATAATTGGGATTTTTAATACTTGTTGGACTGGGTATTCTTCTAGATAGTCAGAATATTAAATAGATGACTTTTTAGGTATCAAGTTAATGGATACTTGTAACCCTGGGATTAAGGCTAGAAATCAATGAGAGCCATGGAAATGGGTGTAGCAGGAATCTTAAAAGTTCTTATTAATAAAACCAAACTGGGGCCAGGTATTGGGGTGAACGCTGGAAGAGCAGAGAAACAGAATAAGCCACAGCCAATTCCTCAGCTGATCCTGTTTCCTCAGACTGGAAGCCTCTGTGTCCTTATCCACAATGAAGCTCAGCTGAACTGTGCTGTTCAAAAGCCTAAATGCTTAAGCAGGCTCATCCAGGCTAGTTCCTGGTCCTCACACCTTATATACCTTTCTGCTTCCTGCCATCACTTCCTGGGATTAAAGGCATGAGTCACCATGCCTGGCTGTTTCCAGTGTGGCTTTAAACTCACAGAGATCCAGATGGATCTCTGCCTCCCAAGTGATAGGATTAAAGGCGTGTGTGCCACCATTTTCTGGCCTCTATATCTAGTGGCTATTCTGTTCTCTGACCTCAGATAAGTTTATTAGGGTACACAATATTTTGGGGAACACAATATCACCACAAATGGGAATATATCTAAATCTTCGAAGATGGAAGGGAGTTGTGACACCTGAGCTCAGCCAGATAAAGGAAGTTCTCTCCAGGCAGAGAGAACAGGAGGAGCAAGAGATATACAGAAAGCTTTAAAAAAATTAACATGGACAGGGACATAGAGAGAAAGAGACTATTGTGAGGGTGGGAGACACTGGAGCTGTAGAGGTGCGTATGGACAATCATAGAAGTCCCTACCAAACAGCCTGGCCTTCACCCTCTGGGTACTTGGGAGCAGGTGAGGACAGGTAGATGATCAAGTACTCCTCACAGACTCATTCATGCATGCACTCATTTATTGAAGAAGCTATGACTGGTTGGTTGCTTTATTCCAGACCCGTTTCTACCATTGGAGATACAAAGAAGAGCAGATACAACATGATTCTGCCCAGAGAGCAGGTAAGTGAGGCCAAGGTCATGAACTAGACCATGGTGTATGCAGTTGACTCCTGCCTGCTATCTTGTCCTATCTGGACTCAGCACATTTACCCTGCTAGAGGAGAGAACGGGTACACAGAAAGTTCAGTGCTGATGTAACACCCCTGTGCCAGTGTCTCACAGCTGTGGCACACTTCTGTTGCTTCCATGAAATTACTACTATTGCTAATATAAAGTTGTTTTCTAATGAAGTTTTACGATAGAATTGTATTTTTATGTTAGTCATTGCTTTTTTTTTGTCACTGTGACAATTATTGAAGACAAACAGCTTAAAGGAGGAAGATTTGTTTTTAGTTCATGTGTTCAGTCCATAGTCAGCTGCTACCTCACTCCTTTACAAGGCAGAAACATTGTGGAGGGAAGGTGTATATATAGCCAGGCACAGCTGCACACTTCATGGCAGCTGGGATGCAAAGCTATTAAGGCCCAGGGTCAACATGCAGCCTTCAAGAACACACATCCAAGACTCCTACTTTCTCTAACTAGGTTCACCGCACAGAGTTTCCAGCACCTCCCCAAAGATCACTCCTGGTTGGAGAGCAGACGTTAAGCCACAAGCCTGTTGGGGGAGGGGTCACACTGAAAACAACATTATCCTATGATGGATATGGATTCCATTGTGTTCTTCCAAAGTGTCTGTGTCAATGTCTGAACTCTCAATGTGATGGCATTAGAAACATTTTTTTTTTAATTTTTTTTTTTTTTTGTTTTTCGAGACAGGGTTTCTCTGTGTAGCTTTGCACCTTTCCTGGAACTCACTTGGTAGCCCAGGCTGGCCTCGAACTCACAAAGATCCGCCTGGCTCTGCCTCCCGAGTGCTGGGATTAAAGGCGTGCGCCACCACCACCCGGCCCTTGTTCTGTTTTTTTGTTTGTTAGTTTTTCAAGACAGGGTTTCTTTGTGTAGTCTTGGCTGTCCTGGAACTCACTCTGTAGGCCAGTCTGGACTTGAGCTTAAAGATCCACCTGCTTCTACCTCCTGAATGCTGGGATTGAAAGTATGTAGTAAAGGGTAAATGAAGATGAGAAGGTTGGCCTCTTGTCTGGACTGATTCTTCCATATGAAGAGGAATACACATCAGTGATCATTCTTTCCCTTTTTGTGGAGGAAAAGCCATGAAGACACAATAAAAGGCAGCCATATGTCAGCTTAGAAAACAAGTTTCATCAAAAATCACCTCTGGCACCTTGATCTTAGACTTCTAGTCTTCAGAAATACATGAAGAAAATTTCCTATTGTTTGAACCATGTGATCTGTGCTATTTTCTTAGGGCATCTTGAGCTAGTTAATATATCCTGTTAGAGGATATTCAAGTTACTCAGACTGAGGAAGATTTTTTTTTTTTTAGAATGTAGAGTTAAAGGTAGAACCTTCCCATACATGGGAACAGTAAAGCTGAACTTCAGTTGGGTTTGGTTAAACTGTGTCATAGTTTTATCCTCCCACCTCTCTGCTACCAACAAACTGTGAGAACTTCTTGACAGTCCAGATTTCTCAAGGATGTAATGCAGGGTGGTAGGCAGAGGTGGGACAGTGGGGTGGGCTGAATCCTCTCAAGAGCCTTAAGAGGGTTGAGATACACTGGTTGTGTTTTTCCTTCCAGGCTCCCAGATAGATATTTTAGAGTTGACAAGATCTATTGGGCCATTTGCCAGATAAACACACAAACAGTGTAGCTATCTAGAAGGGGCCCACTTGCAATAAACCTGATTGGGGAAAGAAACGGACGATTAATTTCAGGCAAACAATAAAAATGTATGAAAATTAAAGAGGTAGAGAAACTAATAATGACAGCCATGAGGGGCTGGCTCTGCCTTTATTAGTGTCTTTTGTGTTCCTTTATGAACATCTATTATCAGCGAACTCACTGATTATTCTCTCATAATTACTTCATACAGAATAATTAAATAAAATGCAGACAATAATCTTTTATAGACAATTACAAAAAGAAACATTTTTGTGGGAGGGAAGGAAGGGGGAGTGTTGGGTGAGAAGTTGGCATGTGAGTTCCTATTCACAGGCTTTCTTGGGAGTTCCTTCACTGAGATCTCTGCAGTGACCCAAAATCTCTGTTCTGCTTTATCACTTATTTGGACAGAGGGGAATTTGGGTTCCCAGTAGAAGGGGAAGTATGGATAGATTTTTAGAAAAGTGTAGTAAAAATCTTACCCTTTTCATCATCATCTAAACATTCGCTTCCCAAGCACTACTTTCTGTTTCTGGAGATCCCTGGATGCAATAGCAGTGGCCTTGGCACCAGATAGGTCAGGGTTAAATTCCCTGTCTTTGAAGCTGTTAACTGCAGATCATTCCTGACAATCCCCTCTTCCTTGCACTATCACGAGTAGTCTTAAGAAACCAGTCTCCTATATGTTTCTAAAATCTGCCATTACCTATGGTCATTGACCTAAGCTATCAGCTCTCCCTTGGGCCACCATAACAAGTAATAGTGTCTATATGAAGAATGACAATTACTGCCAAAATTTTCACTTCATATGATTATTTCCTCCTTTCAGTAACCAGTGTGATCTTTGAAGAACATAAAAGATAAGTCACTTTCATATTTCGCATCATGACTGAGGTGCTGTGTTCATATGGAATGGACCAAGCCTGCTGGCTGATCTGCAAAGCTCTGTCATGATTTCCAACACCCCTCATGAGACGTGAGCTTCAACTTCCTGCCATATCCTTCATGGTTGTGCTTTGGGTCATTGTTACACATCTTTCACACTCATTAATGAGAACAAAGATTTCCATCTGTTTTGATCACCTAAAATGATGTCTAGCCTATGGAGTCTCTGGTGTTTTGTTTTCTTTAGGGATGGTCACAATAAAATAAATGATTAACAAATGTTTGCTGTATCTTATTATAATAAGTAATAGTGAAAAAGCAAAGGAGAGGTTTGGATTGGTGCTAAGGATGATATTGGGGTTATAATTTTTAATAGAGTATACAAATAAGGCTTCATGAAGGTGATATTTGAGTAAAGACCCAAAGGAGGTAGATAATATGCTGTGACAAGTGGGATATTTTTAGAACAGTCACACCCAAGTAGGTCTGGGCATACCTTCCACCAAGACTTTAGTCCCTAAATGTCATTCTCCATTAAAAAACGCTTAAGATCTTTGAGCAAATGGCTGACCATAGAGTGAGGCAGGGAAATTATAGTTCAAACAGAATTTTTCAAAGAATGATACAGGTAGATGAAAAGCACACAGGCTCCAGCTTAATGGGACTTCAGCTAACTAAATCTGGGACAAATCTAAGTATCAAACCAGATAATTATGGGAATAAATTATATGTCATTGAACAAATTAAAAACCTAGAGATCAGTCTTCACATAAACAGACAAATGAATTACAACAGAGGGAAAGACAACGTTCTTCCTTATAGTACCTCCTTCTTCCTTCCTTCCAACCAATAAGTACAGAATGAGTGGAGGAAACAGGAAGTCATTTGGTAACTATTTTAATAATAAGTAATTTAGGAGGAGATACCAATAGATGCTAAAATGGGTAGAAGACAATGAAATAATGAAAAATCTTAAAGAATCTCATATAAAATTCCTAAGTATATAGGGGGGAAACTGATTCTGCACTGAAGATTCCCTTTATCACTTAATCAATGTTAAACTAACATTAGTACTCATGGGATGCACTGGCATTGTTTGCCACCTGAGAGATCAACAAACATTAAACTATTATAATATATATTATAATATAATATAGGGCTATTTATAAAAAAAAAACCACATGCATAAATTGGGTTAGTGAGATGGTGTGTTGTTTAAAAGCACTTGCCATGGAGCCCCAATGACCTGAGTTTGATCCCCAGAACCCACATAAAAAGTCAGCTACTGTGGCTCCCTTCTGTAATCCCAGCCCCAGCACCCATGCTATGAAACGGAACCAGAGGCAGGAAACTAGACACGAAGTTTGCTTATTCAGCACAGCGACAGAAATAAGGGAGACCCTGAGTCCACACAAAGGTGGAAGGAGGGAACCCGCCCCAGGGTTATCCTCCGACATCGATACACGTGCCATCACACGTATGTGCTCTCTTTCTCTCTTTAAATAGACAAACACATAAATAAAGAAGCAGGAATAAAGCGTGCAAGGATTTTAATCATGACGAACGGCTGGGCCGACACAAGTTAAAGAAAGGGCGTTCCGTACAATGATTGTCTGGGAAGGGAGAGAAGGCTCACGCGCGAACAACAGACTAATGAAGAGGGAGGACGATGGTTTCAGATGCAGCAAAACCAGAAATGTGACAACCAAGGAACAGCTCATCATCCTGGTCTGGTCTAATTTGCTGTAACAAACATCCCTGGAACCTATGATAGAACTGGACTGGGGCTTCTGGGTAAAGAGTACATGATATGTCACAGTATTGCTCTAAGGCTTTTGTAGGTTTGAATTTGCCTTAAATGAAATTATATTAAAATTCTTTACTATGAACTTTTCCTTAATGGGTGTTTGGGAAAAGCACTTTGCAATGCATATGACAGCGGACTGGGACACACCCATGCGTGGAGATCAGAGTCCGTTGCCTTGGGTGTGGGGTCCTTTGGATGTAGCCAACTCTGCTGATGTATGGCGTGAGTCTGTTGTTTGGCTCTTGGTACCAACTCTAATTTGCAAATCTCTCCACAAGAAGAGTAGCATAAGCAGAACCATTTTAACTCTGAGCGCAATCTTGCCAGTCATATTCCTGTGCGGTGGGGAGTGTGTGGGTGGCAGCAAATAGAGGGGGAAAAATCTGCAAATGGCAAAAACAAGTCCTAACATATTATATATTCTTTCTCCCCTCCCACCCCAATTCCACCAAACAGAATAACGTTAGGAAAAGAAAACATAAAAATTAGCTACCACCAGGAAACTTCCCAAGTTCATCTGTGCCAACCAGAGTGGAAGCCAAGGAAGTGACATTTCACCCACATGGCCTTCTTGTCAATGGACTCCAGCTGGGGCTCCCACGTTTGAGATATTTATGAGACTCTGGGAAGGCATTCAGAACTAGAAGAAAACTCCAAATCCTGCCTCTCTGAAAAGTGTAACAGTGGCTTCAGGGGCTGCGGTTCAGCCCCCAGCTTTCTTGCAGGCTTGGCAGCTCACAGTTTTTATAACTGGGACTAAGGACACCAAGCTACCTTCACAGTGGCCTGGAAATATGACCAGTTGCTTGAGCCCCAAAGTTCCCCTCAGAGTCTGGAGTAAAAGCCTGCTTGGATGGGTAGAGCATGGAATATGAGAACATCAATTCATGAGTAGTGTTGCTGCATGTGCCAGAATTTAATTCCTTTAAATAGATAAATAGCAAATTTTGATTCTCAGTTAATCCATCAATGGATGTTCTACTATTTAGCTATTATAAATATGCTGCTGTGAACATTTTCCTACAAATCTTTCTTTGAATTTCTGTTATTAATTCTTTGGAAATTAGTAGCAATTGTGTTGTACTAAAACTTTCTCCATTGATCTGTGATGCAATATGAGAAGTTTGATATTTGGAAATGGCACGGTTATCTTGTCTTCCCTCCAGGAACTTGGTTTTTACTCTCTGATCTTGATAGAAAATTAGCATCCACTCCTATCTCAGCTAGGTATTCAATCAGAGTAGGAGAGATAAGGAGACTGCTGCAAAGACAAAGACTTTGGGCTTAGAAAGAACATGGTTTGAGTGCTTATTTCTCCCTCCTTAAAGCTATGTGGGCCTTGTCTACATATTTAGTCTCCATGAGTCTCAAAATAATTTCTGTTAATAAAAGATCTATAATTGTGAAACTTATAGAAGTGTGTGTGTGTGTGTGTGTGTGTGTGTGTGTGTGTGTGTGTGTGTGTATGGCATGGAGTAGACCCTGAAAAACAAACAAAACCAGTACTATTTTCTAAACTTCTGTTAGGGTTAATGTAAAAATGATATAAGCTAGTAGTTAGGTAATTTACTTATATGATAATTATTATCATCAACTTCTTACCATATGCTAGGAGAAGGTTCTATTAGAGTGCCAGAGGACTAGACATGATCAGAAGTTTCTTTTATCAATAGGTTGAATAAATGGACACAGAAATGATTGTAAGATCACAGCAGTTACTGGAAGACAGCGTTCTCAGTATAGGAGAAAGATGTAAAGAGGCAACATACATTTTTATAAACATCAACATGAGTATCTGAACTCGGGAGAAAGAGAGAAATGCACAACTGGAATACAGATGAGGTGATTTGCTAGCAGTTAAGTGACAGAAAGATTAGGAATGATTTCTTTCTTTCTTTATATGGAATGAAATATTTTGTGCTTCAGTTTGAGATATGTTTGTCAATTACTTAATCATCTCTTTAGCCCTGCAATCAGCAGGACAGTGTCTAGACAATGATGGAGTCCCTTGCATTGGCTTGGTCACATTGAACACATGTATGCAGTGCTGGAGTCATACCTGAGAAGGGCCTGAACAGCTGCTGTTGACACTGAAGGATACCATGAGAACATTAAGAGTGAGAGATCTGGAAACCATGTCCTACAGGACCTGGTCAGAGGTCTAATCCATACATAGAGATTTGGAGAAAAGACCTACAAGTCTCCATATTCTTGAAAGCCTTCCACACAAAAAAGGGCAATTTTTGCTCCTTGCTAATTGTTTAGTTAAGGTTGGGCTTATAAATAAATGGAAAACGTAAAAGTCAGACTGTAATTTCAGGGAAGAAAGAATTTGCAAGAGTTGATTGTTGCTTAACAATAGAAGCAACTTTCTTGCCAATGCTGAGTGGCTCATCTTTTTATGGAGGCAGAAAAAAAAAAAAAAAAACCCTTGGATTGACTATCAGAGATGTTTTAGGTGAATCTCCATCAGGAGTGCATTAGATTCAATAACTGTGGCTACATATCCTTTCCAAATCTGGACTTGGTGATGTGACTCACTCTGTTCTTAGATTTGTTTGTTTGTTTGCTTAGGATACTCCAGGAGTGGGAGAAAGAGGAGATCTCGGTAACCCAGAGAAGCCCGAAGGGATTGGGTTCTAACTGGATGGATTCATATCTGGTTCTTTCCGTCTTTGAATTTTTTGAGACAGGATCTTGTTATGTAGCTCAGGCCAATCATGGACTCTGCATCAGCCTCCCTAGTGCTGGGACTACAGGCACGCAGCACCACCATGCTGGGTTTAGCTTTGTGATTTACTTGTTTACTTCCTTACTTTGAGCTTCAATTTTTCATATTAGAGTCTCCTTAATTTCAAATTACACATAATGTTGAGTAGTGTAATTCTAGAATTCTCCAGCATTCCAGCAGATGATATGAAAATAAGGAAGGAGGGAGTAGGGATATACCAAGTGCCAAACTGACAGCAATGTAAAATGACTGCTGACAGCCCAGGACATGACAAAAAAGAAACGAAGAGTAGATAGATATCAAGCAGGAAGAATTTAACTTTGCAGATAATTTATTATCTTCATGCAATCCCAATCCTAATGAATGCCAATGTAGCTCAAGGTGGCTGGCCAGGTGATCAGTGGCTGTGGTACTTCTAGTGAGATGAGGAAGGTGGGTGACAAATCCATATGTGGTTTCCTTAAGAGGGAAAGCTTGAATGAATTTAGACTACCTGAACATCACGGTGAGGAGGGGCTCTGATTATTGACATTTGGACCTAAGGCTGGATCTGTCTCCATCATTTATAAACCATAAAACTTCAGAGCTGTTTTCTCTTCTTTAAAACATGAGTGATGGGATCACAGAAGGGCCATAGGTGATGAGTGATGATGTGGTCACAAGATCAGAATGCTTGGAAGGTTCTTGATCTGAAGTCAGA